ATTTTAGGATCAGATCCAAATCTTGGCTGAAATAGTTGACTCTAAATGGAAACCTCTGCAAAGGGATCAAATGCTAACTAAACCTACAGATTATACTTCTTGCACTAATGGAAGATAGCCTCTTAGACAAGGATGGCAGTAAACTGGGGAGTTAGGGTTGGGGAAAAAAGGCAAGGTGTGTAGATGAAGACTATCTGGCCTGCACTTGTCTAATTCCACCCTGGGTCCCCATCTCATCTTGAATCTCTCTCATTCCAACGGTGCAGCCACATCTTCTTCCTGATACTCATCCTTTACCTATTGCTTCGTCCAAAGTCAACAAACATCAGGCTTTAAAGGAAATAAACTTTCAATAGAGCTGGGCATAGCAAAGCATGTCTTTAAGCTTAAAGTTTAAGAAGACGAGGCAGGAGGATCATAGCAAGTTCCATCCCAGCAAATCCTAAGACAGGGATGGATACATAGAAAGATACTGTCTTAAGATGTCTCAAGAAAACTAAATCGAACAAACAAATGAAAAATGTTTCAACACAAAGATGGAGGAACTGAGGAATGGCTGGTAAGTTTGAGAAAGGGAAGAGGGAGAGAGGTGGATAGAAGAATAGAGACAAGAGAATATTAGAGGTAAACTCAACTTAAGTTCTCTAAATTGTTAATTAGGGTCAAAAAATTGTTTGGCAATTTTGTTTAAACAGACTTTATGATCTACATGAAAATACTCTGCTCATGTGTGCAAGTGTGTGTGTGTGTGTGTGTGTGTGTGTGTGAGTGAGTGTGTTGTTATAGTAGATTGTACATAGAGCTTTGCAAGTGCTCTACCACTGTGCAACACCCCAGCCCAAATTTTCTACTTTGCATTTTATTTGGAAATATTAACAAAATTTACTCCTGTTTAAAGCTGACTTGGGTTTTTATCGCTGTGAAGAGACACCATGAACACTCTTTCTTATAAGTGAAAACACTTAGTTGAGAGGACTTGCTTACAGTTTCAGAGGTTCAGTCTGATGTCATCGTGGCAGAGAGCATGGTGGCATGATGGTGGCTGTGGTGCTGGAGCTGAGAGTCCTACATCTGGCAGGTAACAGGAAGTCGACCAACTGTCACACTGAGGGAAGCTTGCGCAAACAAGACCGGAATGCCAGTCCCCACAGTGACAAGCTTCCTCTAACAAGGTCACATTCTTTAATTGTGCCACTCCCTATGGGAGCCATTTTCTTCAAACCACAAGGCCTTTTATTAATTTGAAGTTCATTATATATAAACAACATCATGAGAAATCATTCAAATCACGCCTAACTGGGTGAGTCTTAGAAATACAGGGACTTCTGATATTTTGTTTAGAAATAAAACAAGCTTTTAGCAAGGCCGTAGTGGGGCACACCTTTAATCCCAGCACTTGGGAGGCAGAGGCAGGTGGATCTCTGTGAGTATGAGGCCAGCCTGGTCTACATAGAAAGTGAGAGTGAGTTCTAGGATGGCTAGAGTCACACAGTGAAACCCTGTCTCAAATAAAATAAAATAAAAAGGTAAAAGAGGCTGGGCTTTGGTGGTGCACACCTTTCATCCCAGCACTCGGGAGGCAGAGGCAGGTGAATCTCTGTGAGTTCGAGACCAGCCTGGTCTACAAGAGCTAGTTCCAGTACAGCCTCCAAAGCCACAGAGAAACCCTGTCTCGAAAAACAAAACAAAACAAACAAACAAACAAACAAAAAGATAAAAGAAATAAGAGAAGCTTTCAAGGAGTTAAAGGTATATTTGCCTTCTAAAAGGTTGCCATCTTGTCTGGTGTTGGCTGAGAAACAAGTCTCTACCTTTAAGTTCACTGTTCATTAACAATATACATGGACCACAAAGATGAGTGGGTGTTCATTCTGGATGGTTACGGATCCTGTAGTAAATTTGATAAAGGTAATAAATCTTCTTCCCAGAAAAACCCACACTGCATACATGAACAAAAGCAATATTCCATACAATTGCTTGAAGGAATCTGCTCATTCTAGGAATTCTGTAGACAGGTGTTCCCAAAGGAGCTGAATCACAGGGTAAAACTTTCTGAGAAGGGTATCCAATCAGGTATGAAAAAAAAAAAATCTTTTGCTGTGTGGTGGTGATGCATGCCTTTAATCCCAGTACTCAAGAGGCAGAGGCAAGCAGATCTCTGTGAGTTCAAGGCCAGCTTGGTCTACAAGGCAAGTTCCAGGATAGCCAAGGCTACACAGAGAAACCCTGTGTTGAAGAAAATGAAAAAAGCAAAAACAAAAACAAAACCTTTTTTACTCTTATTTTAGTGTGTGTGTTTGTGCGTGTGTGTGTGTGTGTGTGTGTGTGTGTGTGTGTGTGTGTGTGTGTATACACTCGCCAGAGCATACTTGTGGAGGTCAGAGACCAACTTTCAGGAGTCGTGCCTCTCCTTCCACCATGTGATCCTAGAATTGGAATCAGGTCATCAGGCCATAAGCATCTTTACCCATTGAGTCAACTCCCTTGTCCCTTGGGTACCTTTTATTAAAAGTCTATATTACTTTCCACAAAACTTCATCTATACACACGGAGGGGGAGAGGGGGTGGACAAATGAGGCTATGTGCTCATTTCATTTTATTTTTGAGACAAGTTCTCCCTTTTATGTAGTTCTGGCTGTCTTGGAATTCACTTTATAAACCAGGCTGGCCTCCAAGTCAGAGATTCACCTGCCTCTACCTCACAAGTTCTGGAGTGAAAGGCATGCACCACCATGCCTGGTTTATGTGCCCATTTTAAATGATCAACAATCAGTGGTTTAGGCGACTCAAACTACATGAGAGTGAAAATGTCAATGCCTGTTTGTGCCACCTTCCCACTCCTCCTCTGTCTCTGAGTCAGAGGAACCTAGCCCAGGGACAAGTTCAAGACTACATAAAATCCATGCTTTATTAAAAGGTTAGTAGCTGATAGATGAGTACTTTATCCAACAGATGAGCCTTCTAAAGCTTCAAATGGTCAGCTTAGACTAGAATTCAAAAAAGAAATCAATTTTAAGAAACAGAACAGCTTAGTATTTTTCCCTGGTGTAAGAAGGGACTTTGAAAGCCCATCCCACGTGAAGGGATGCACTCTCGGCCTGGACACATCTGGGAGGGCCCAGGATGATGTAGTGAACTTTGGGGAGCCCCCGTCAAGGGCCCTACCCTGCCTGGGGAGTGGAAGGTGGATGGGGTGGGGGGAGGTGAGAGGGGAGGTGGGGGGGAAGGGTAGGAGGGAAGGGGGAGGAGGAGAGGGAGAGGGAGGAGGGATTGACTTGTGAAGCAAGCTTGTTCCTAATTTGAACTAATAAAAAAAACAAGAAAAAAAAAAGAGAGAAAGAAACAGAAGAACTGTTGAACAATACATTTCAATTATAGGCTGGCAATAACTTAAGACCAGTTTTTTTTTTATTTTATTCATTTTTATTTAATGTTCATTGGTGCTTTGCCTGCATTTATTTCTGTGTGAAGGTGTCAGGTCCCCTGGAACTGGAGTTGTGAACGGTTATGTGGATGCTGGGAATTGAACCTGAGTCCAACTGGAAGAGCAACCAGCGCTCTTAACCACTGAGCCATCTCTCCAGCCCCTAGACTTCACTTTTAAAACATCTTTGTTTTTTCTTATTTTTTCTGGCAGTACTAGGAATTGAACCTAGGACTTCATGGATGCAAGACAAATGTTCTAAAACTGAGCTATAGCCTCAGCTGAAATGTTTTTATAAATACAAACACCTCACATATCACATTGTTGCCCAAACATGTCCCTCCCCTCCCATATTAAAATTTTCCTACTACTAAGCAATAAATTGTATTGGAACTCTGAAACCAAAAAGAATTCAAAGGTGACCAAACGTACTTGGATTATCAGTTGGAGAAGCAACGGGCCAGTGTGTGCACCAGGTGTTGTTCAAACAGTAACTCAAATTTCATTTTAGGTCAATTCGTTAAACCAGCCGTCTAAACGGGCCCTGGCACTGGATATCAAGCCTCTCCATACACCAGCTGGTGAGGCTTCCGAGTTGGAACCGGAAGCCACCTCCAGCCAGCGGAGCCTAGGCCCTGGCTGGACGCACTTCCGCAAGGACTAGGGACGTTGCGGACTGCCTTCCCCCTCCTGGAAACACTGGGTTCGAGGATGCAGGCCCAAGGCAGGCCAGGAGCCCTGAAACCAAACCCAGCTCAACTCCTGCATCTGTTCACTTCAGAGAGCCGAGGGAGGAAGCCTGGCCTTAGCCAGCCGTCCTGGGGCTGTGTTATGGTGTGCGAAGGGTCGGGCCCACGTGGGAGGAAGAGGAGATGGCTGCATCCGACTGTCACCCCCATGCCACCGCCCTCGGATCTCTGGGACTCCGAAGGGCAGCATCTCTGTCGGGTCAGCCCCGCGGGGGAGCTGGTGGCAGCAGCCAGACGGGTTTGGGTAGCCCGAGTTTCGAGGCCCTTTTCTCAGAGAGGTGCCAGTCAGAGACTCGGGTTGGGTGGGTCATACTTTCAGTGTCCCAAGCAACTGGCCATAGAACTTGCCCCTCAGACACTAAAGTATTCTCTCCCTCCCAGCATAAGGTCTCTGCACCTTCCAAATGACCTGAGCATCATTTACTGGGGAAGGGGACATCCCCAGGAGGGTGCAAATGTGGACTTTGCAGCCAGAGGCGACCTGGCTTTCTGTGCTTTGCCCGGGGCTTGCTTGTTGAGTGAAAGGTGTGAGTGGAGCAAAGAAAAGCGGTGCTTTTGCCAAATATTCCCCAAAAGCCCAGGAACCCATTCCCTCGCCATTATGTCTTTGACTCTGTCAGCAGTGTTCAAAGGAGCCCCCCCAGCCCTCTGGAGAGCCCTGGGAGCTCATTTGCAGTCGTTTGGGGACTGGGACACCCACTGCCTGATCCCCCCCTCCCCCCCCCCCCCCTCCCCCCCCCCCCCAGCCCAGCAAGGGCCTGGAACTTCCAAAACCACAGCTTTTCTGGGGAGAGAGAATACTTTAGTTGTCTAAGACCAGGGAAAGGGTGCTCGCTTTAGTAGCACATTTACTAAAATTGGAACCATTCAGAGATTAGCGTGGCCCGTTTGCAAGGATAACAGGCAAATTCATGAAATGTTCCACATTAAAACAAAAAGACCAGGGAAGGGACAGTGGCTCAGAAGCCGCCTCCTTACCTCTGAAGGTGACCTTATGCACACAGTCAGAACAGTACTCGGTTGTTCAGAGGTTAAATGATGAACACAAGTCCCAGGCTTTGCTGGGAACAATGCCTTTTCTTAAGATCATCGCAAGTTTAAAAAAAAAAAATGTTTTAGCTGTAAGCTGATAATCGAGTAGCTGTGGTCAGACACCATTCCCCAAACTCACTATTCGAGACCATGTTATCACATCACGCCCATTAGGCCCCAGTAATCCTCTATCAACACGTTTTACAGCCATTTGAATGTTAAGGAGATTTTTATTAATGGTTCATGATCCTAAAATGTGACTAGTGGTTCTGGAAACATTTTAATAGCTCTGAGTTTTGTTCTTCTGGTTGTAATGTAGTCTAAGGCTTCTGGAGGTTAAGGTTGTGAGATTGGGACTGGGCCTAAAGGAAGGTGTTCACTGGACCCAAAACTTAGGTCTCTTAAGAATCCACCCTCCTGTTTTGACCTGATAATGTGGGAGCAAAGGCTCACAGACAGTATTTCCCAAGGAGTATTTGTTGGTACCTTCATGAGCTGTCCAAGGTGTGTGTGGTGGGGGTGGTAAGGGAAGTAACCAGTCACCAGATGCCTGCTAGGAATGGACACCTAGTTTTTAAGGAAGTCCTTAGGCTGGAAATGGCCCCCAGGGATATCAAGCAGACTAAAAAACCCTCAATAGGAAAGTCCTTTTCCCATCCTTGCAAGTAAGCGAGTTAAGACTCTGACACTAGAGGGAAGGTGGCAGGGGAGTCTACCTGATTCCAGAATATCCTTTTCCCCTCCTGGAGCCAACACAGGTCAATTCAAACCTTACCAGCTTACCAGTATGTTTGCTATGGGATTCTTTTTTATTCGGCTTGTTTATTTGTTTTCTTCAAAATACTGTTTCCACTAAGAATCAGAGATAAAGGGTGGAGGAGGTTGAGGAATAAAAGTAAGTCCTAGACCCCATGCTGTTAGACTTTCCCTCTAGGAGAAAAACAAATTTTGAAGTTGCCCTTCCCTGATGACGGCATGGCTGCCCTGGCACCCACAGTCGTCTTTGACTAAATGGATTGGACCTGGTAGGGCTCCTTTATTTGAATCTGCTTATTGTTTGTTTGCAGTCAACAGCGGGTTGGTTTTTAAATATAAAACATAGTGCTGGCAGGAGGGGAAGTCTGGCTGCTTCTCTTTAGCATTTGGGAGGGACCTCCTTTGGCTGCGAGTACTGTTGCATAGTAGAGGGCCTTTCAAATGCATTACCTGCTTCCTCCTCTCCAGCCACTTCCTCATACACAAGTTTCTTGCTTCCGTTTCTTTCCAAGTGCTTCCATCAGAAAAACCACCTTTTCCAAATAACGTATACATCCTGCTCAAAATGAGCTTAAAATAATTTTTAAAAACACTACTCCAAATCATGTTACTATTAGCAAGCAATTGGAAAGAGAAGCTCCAAGCAATTCCACACTACGTCTCTCAACACACTGGTCTACTACAGCTTGGCTTGTAATGTTAATTCTGTCTGAGACAAACGCTATAACCCGTGCAGTTACACAGCCAATCCCCCAAAATATCGGGGTAGCTCTCCTTAGGGCTTTTGCTCTCCCCCTTGCAGGAGTACTGTCTTCGGTCTTTTATGCCCCACCAACCCAAGGGCAGAACATAGGGTTTCTGGGAGAATCAGGTTTATCAGAGCAACCTTCGCTGACGCGTGAGGGAGGATTACAAAAGAAAAGCACGGGTGTTTAGAGCCCTGCTCGCAGATCTGAGTATGCAGAGCCGTGACAGAGGAGGAAGGGTTGTCCTTCCTGATGGTTGAAGAGGAAGGCAAAAATTCAGGCACAGGCCATGGACCAATAGAACACCTTTCCGCCCTGTTTTCTGCTTCTATTTGTATGGGATGAGTCGGTTACCTGCCCGGCTTCTTTGTGTTCGTCTTTTGCATGATTAAAACACACCTCTGCATGCAATAGACCCCACCTAACATCAGCATACGGAGTTTGGAGTAAAGCGTTGTCTTAATAACAATACCGAGTTTCTCACCAGGAGTGAGGTTCTCGGCTTCGAACTTGTGTTGTGATGTTGGCCCGTCTGGTGGCTTCTGATTAAATGGAGATCGGCACTTGTGTGAGGCCTCGGCACTGCAGGTTCTGGAAAGGGATAATTTGGCAACCAGGAGACACTCGGGACACCGAAAGGAGCCGCTTCCCCATTCCAGAACTTGCTTCTGACCCTCTGGGCTGCCGCATCGGATCCCAAACCAAAACCAGCCAACGCTGGTGGGGAAATGAAATGCAGCGGGTGGCAGTAAGGGGATGAACGAGGCTGAGGGCCAATGAGCTTCTCTAGCTTCCGACTCAGTACCCGGCTCCCACCAGAGGGCCAGAACTCGGTATATTCATTCACTACCTAAGCACCTGGCTGTCCTTGAAAGTACCCAAGGGCAGGCTCAGCTGGGCGCCCCGGTTCGAGGAGCATCAGGAGGCCTCAAGCTGAGTGACCCGCTTCCCCAAGCTTCCGGGAGCAGCTGTCCCCTCCCTAGCCGCCTGCGGCGCACCCCCCGGAACCCAGCAAAGCCGTGTCCTCCAGACCAGGCTCTTCTCAGCGCTGGCCTCTGGTATGTTTCAGGCCGCCCCGCTGCAGGAAGCTTGCCTCCCAACTCGCTTTACAAACCCAGAAATTGAATTTAGCCCTGAGCTCTGCTGGGATCTCTGGAAGGTCCCAACGACACCCACCCTCACTTCGGGCTCAGTGGCTACGGGCGTGGCCGCGCTTCCCCTAGCCCTGGCCACGATGCCTCCAGGTCAGGGGACAGACAGGGCGAAAGGACCCTAGACCTTGAGGGAGCACCACGAAATAGAAAGAGCCACCTGGCTAGGCCAGATCCTGCATCTCTACTGGCAGGGGGGAGTGAAGCCCAGGAGCCGCCGCCTGCACCACCGCCTGCGGCCTCCGCCCCAACTCCCGATCCCGGGGCCCAGCTGGGACGATTTTCCTAGCAAGTTACAGCTGCTAGGAAGGGCAGCCCTGAAGAGGGTCTGAGGCCTTTCGTGGGCTGCCTCGACCAACCAGCTCTTTCTCGAAATTGCCTCCTGCCTCCGCAGCTGTTCTTTCTGGATATTTGAGTGGAGAGGTGGCTAGGTACGGGCACACAGAAGAGGTGAGATTAGCTGGAACCTGGAGGAGTTGAGGAAACTGACCATTTTCTAAACCTGGAGGTTTCAAGAGCCGGAATTTAATTGGTTTGATTGAATTGCTTTTATCTATGAAGGGAACGCTCCCTAGGTGAAATCCAAAGGGCCAGGCATCTTTATAGAAATGATAAAGGTTTGGTGTAAAGCCAATCTGTCCCCACACCTCACCTCTGCCCTCCCAAAGAAGATTATATTGCCGGCTCACTTCTGGCTAAACGACTCCCAGATTCATTTAGAGACCAGTCATTTCAGTACCAAATATCAGGCAGTATGGGACGTATTAACTTCATTAAATCCAGTTTGATTAGGAGTGGCGATCAGAACTCTGGATGTCTTTAAGCCAATGTTAGCTTCCCACCCACTCCACTTTGCCTTTGATGATGGGAAATCCTTTCTACTTTGGGTATCCATTCAAAAAGCAATTGAAACTGTGGTCTCAGTTAAACGAAGCTGTGCAAAAGTGATGAAAAACATTGGTCTTAAGAGACCTCCTCTAACTTCGTTTTCAGACCCTGAAGAAACTAAGTCATTTTCTGAGTAGCCCTAAGCTTGTCAGATACTCTTGTTTTTAAAGTACCCACCCTGTCCTTGCTAAGGTTTCCTGAAAATCAAAGGCAGTGTGAGAAACAGGTTATTTAGGAGTTACTTAACTATTGCATGAAAAAACATGCAGGATAAAAAAAAAAAAAAAAAAAAAAACCTAGACCTGGGAAAAGGTAAAGACCATGGGGCCCCTAGGTCACTTCAGGGAAGACCACAGATGAATCAGCTCCAGGTCCAGGAGGATCCAGCCATCCAGCTCTGTGCTTGGTGATGGCTGTAAAGCATTGAGTTTTATTTAGCAGTGAAACAACTTTACTCATTAGAAGACAAAATGGTTGCAACTGCTAATCTTCATTTACAGAGTTACAATCAAGAGTCATTGAATTTGGTCAAACTTAAGGACATACGAAGTTTAAGATGAAATTAAATAATTTTTACCTGAAGAACACCACAATCACTGGCCATTTGTCTTTTCTATAAGTCCTACAACCAAAAGAGGCTCTCTCCTTTCCCCAACACACACACACCACAAAGCACTCACTGACCAGGATGCCTTATGTTCAACTACTGAAATTATAGGTTTTTAAAGTTTTCTGAAACTCTTTGTTCAGAAATCATTTCTGCCTGAATTGCTTTCAGATTCTGATTACACTCCCTCTGGTGTTTACCTCAGCGTCTTCTTTTTAAGAAAAAAAAAAAATGCCCTTAGAGAACTGAAACAAATTCTTGCCATTCTTATTTTTTGAAATACTCATTTTTACACACACACACACACACACACACACACACACACACACACCTGATCTATCTATAAAAACATACTAACAAAGTGCCTAACAAGTGATTCAGGGTTGAGCAGGGGAGGAAAGGGCGCTAATGGCTGACTGGGAGATGTAACTCACTTTGGAGCAATCCTGAGGGAAGTCACAGAACTCTACAAATCACTGTCCTTCATAGATCAGCAAAAGAAAGGGTAAAAACGTAAGGAATAAAATCACTAATTTCTTCCCTTCCTCACAATAAACATGTTGGGAAAGTAGGCTGAATATAGGCTTCCCATTCACAAGTAATGGTATAAAATTAAACTAGATCCAGTGTTGTGCTAGAACCGTTTTAATATAATTATACATATCTGCCAAATCCAGGAAGAAAGGGTTTATGCATATATAACTTCCAGTTAACATCTGCAAGCATAAATGACAATGATCTCAGTTTTAAG